AGGTGAGTGGGGGAAGGGAGGAAGAGGGAGAAAAGGGAGAGGGGAGAATGGGGAGAGGGGGGGAAGAGGAGAGGAGGAGAAGGACAAGGAGATGGAAGTGGAAAGGGGGATGAAGGGGAGGAGGAGGAACGAAGAGGAAAAGGAGGAAAGGAAGGGAAAATGACAGGTGGGGAGGAGGACTAGATGGAGAGGGAGAAAGGAGAAAATATTACTTAAGATGTGATTGTTTTATTACTATCTTTATCACTTTATTGTTCGCAGAAGTAATATTAATAATAGTAGTTGTAGTATCGTCATTATCATTATTATCATTACCATTTTTATTACGGTTATCATTATCATATTGTTTGTAGCACTACCAATTATTGTCATCGGTACGACTTTCACTGGTTGTAGAAGTACTTTCCATTTCCTCATTAGCTTCACCATCATTATAACTATCACTATTGTTATCAATATTATCATTATCACTATCATTATCATTATTATCATTATTACTATTATTATTACATTATTAGTAGTATTGTTGCTGCGGTCATCATTATTATTTTTGTTCTTATTATTACTATTATCACTATTAGTATTAATATCATTGTTGCTATTATTAGCATTATTTTTGTTATTATTATTGATACAATCATCATTAACATTATCTTTATCTTTCTTATTATCATTGTCATTGTAATTACTGCTTCTGGCGTTGTTGATGCAATTTACGTTTTATTGCCGTTATCAATATCGCCATCCCCCCCCCCCCAGCTACACCTCCCCGAGGGCGTCCGGTCAAGATCACCTTCGTGGCCGACCAGGGGGGTACCAGCCCTCCGGCAACGTGCTCCCCGGCCCCCCCGCCCTCCCCTACTCCAGGACGCAAGTCTACTGAAGAAGGGAGAGGGTAATGAAGAGTAAAAGGAAGAAAATATAGAATTAAGAGAGAAAGAAAATAATCGTTGATATTATAAACGAGAATAAAAGCCGAAGAGGAAGAAATCATGAAGAGAAAATTGAGAAAGAAAAAATGTTTTTTTTTTTCTCTCTCTCTCTCAATTTCTGGCCATTCACTTAATTATTATTCTTTTACATTTTCTTGGTTCATTCGAATCAAGTTACTTTTAATATCTTCATGATTGCTTACTTTGATAAGCTTTATTCTTCCTAGCATTATATTATTTTATTATTACTTATTAAAATTATCATTATCAATATCATCATTATTAATATTATTGCTATTATCTTTATAATAATCTTTATCATTACTGTTCTTATTTTATCATTGTTGTTATTATTAATATCGTTATTTTTATCATCATTATTAATTCTTATTATTCATTTATCAACTGTTTAACATTGTTTTACATTTTCGCTGCATTTTGTTCATCCTTAATATGTTTTCCTTTTATCGTTGTTATGGTCTTGGCACTGACGAAGGGAGGTGCCTGGCGTGCTGGCCGCGTTCGCTTGTTTTGTTGTACTTGTCATGGAGTGAATAAAGATCCAGTGCAACGTGTGTTTCATATTCATGACTTTTCATCCATTACATATGCCTATCAAATTGTGTAAGAAAATTTACACTGCGTAATCTACCGGTCGAGAGATCTGACAC